ATCCCTTAAATATTAATCGACTATTATAACTTTAAAAATTTGTATAATTTAAAGATATAATTATAAATTATGTAAGGTAGAAATTCTTTTCCGATTTAAACTACACCATACACCGATCTTACAACTGAAGTCTCTTCCAAGTAACCATCACAATGGGATTGAAACCTTTCTTCAAACGTTTGATTCCTTGTGGGATTCTACCACAAATTATCTTAGTATTTAAAGGAAGCTGGAAGTCAATGATTTTAGACAAAGGGCTCCATACGAAATTGATGCCACACGAATGATTGCTATTTTAATAAATTGTGTATTTGCTTCTTGATAGGGTAAGTATTCCACAAAAGAGGTGGTTTCATCTTTAGCTTATCAGGGCTAATTTTATTATATTAAATTCCATTCAAAGTACGCTCCTCTAATCTATTTTATTCTTCATGTTTTAGATTCTTACGGCAATACATATCTTCTTTAGTGGTAAAGGCCAATATACATCCCTACTTTTAAAAATAGTGTAAGAATATTACTCGTTATACTATTGAATTATATATACCCTATAGTTATACTTTGGGTTCAAATATACCCCTCATTTAAACGGAGGGATACGTGTAATCGTCCTGTTGGTCAATTTTAAATATCTCCTAATTAAATAAAAAGACACATTACCCATACCCGAAAAATATATTTTTTTTTGTAAAAACTGAAAAAAACTTAAATTCTTTTTTACTAAAAACTGAAAAAAACGAAAATATTGTTTTTCCAGTTTTTACAAAAAAACTTCTTTAAAAAAATTGAAAAATATTTTTTAAAACAATATTTTTGTAAAAACTGAAAACAAAACAGGAAAATAATTTTCTAAAGCAATTAAAAACTGGAAAAAATTGAAATATTTTAAACTAAAAACTGAAAAAAAGAAAATATTTGTTTTTTCAGTTTTTACAAAAATATTGCTTTAGAAAATTTTTTTTTAGTATTTTTTTTTTCAGTTTTTACAAAAATATTATTTTAGAAAATATTTTTCAGATTTTTTTAAAGCAGTTTTTTTTGTAAAAACTGGAAAAAAATATTTTGTTTCATTTTTTTTTTTCAGTTTTTAGTAAAAAAATCAGTTTTTCCAGTTTTTTTTTAAAAATTACTTTAGAAAATTAATTTTTAGCTTTTTTTTTTCCAGTTTTTACAAAAATATTGTTTTAGAAAATATTTTTCAGTTTTTTCTAAAGCAGTTTTTTTGAAAAAACTGAAAAAAATATTTTTGTTTTTTTTCAGTTTTTAGTAAAAAAATCAGTTTTTCCAGTTTTTTTTTAAAAATTACTTTAGAAAATTAATTTTTAGCTTTTTTTTTTCCAGTTTTTACAAAAATATTGTTTTAGAAAATATTTTTCAGTTTTTTCTAAAGCAGTTTTTTTGAAAAAACTGAAAAAAATATTTTTGTTTTTTTTCAGTTTTTAGTAAAAATAATTTCAGTTTTTTCTAGTTTTTACAAAAAAAAATTATTATTTTTCGGGTATGGGTAATGAGTCTTTTTAATTAATTATGAGATATTTAGAATTGACCAACAGGACGATGACACGTGTCCCTCCATTTAAATGAGGGATATATTTGAACCCAAATTATGACAGCAGGGATATAGATAACCCAATAGTATAACGAGGGGTAAGACCATTTTCGAAAGTAGAAGGGTATATTTGGTCCTTTGTCGAATTAACTATATGTCTCCATTAACTATTCTTGAAATTTCAAATTATGAGAACACTAACGTTTGCAATATTTTGCCAGTCTTTTAAATTATATATTACGTGCGTTTCATGCTGATAGGTTGCAAGAGACTCGAGTTATGAGATGCTGGAAGATAATATTATTGTAAATTCTTTATTCTTGATTGTTAAATAGTGTTATTCTAATATATTCTACTATTGATTCTTGATATGTATGTATTTGATAATTTTTGCTTTGATTGTATTGTAAATATCATTATGTTAATTTATAGACCAAAACAATATATTCTCAATCACCAGCTTTAGAAATTTATTGGATATAATAAAACAAGTTAAAAATGAATATAGTTATAATAGTCATTATACTACACAATATTTTTTTCGATCTAAACTATAAGTTTAGTTCTAATTATAATATGAGTCAAACATACAACAAATTCCCAACAACTCCTACAAAGTTGCTTCGCTTCTTATTTTGGTATGAATCAAATATAATTGATCAATTAACTTTAGATTTGACTACACCTACGAGATAATCCCAGAACCTTAAAAACTTCTTCCTAATCTATATGAAATTATAATACCATTCAAGCCTTCTCCTTATTGCTAAAGTTCTAAAGCCATACTAGTTATACATGAATAAAAATACTTTTAAACACCTTTAACCATAGACAACGAAATTACATAATTACATGCCACGAGTATATATTTTTACAAGGTGCAAGTCTTGTTGATGTCTCGCCAATGAGTCCTAGACCAACAAATAGTTAACATGGGAAACAAACTTCAAATTGGCTGCCAAGTCCAATGGTGATAGAAAGAGAAATATTTCATCATTAAGTGAAAATGTAAATTGTGAAAATACATGACGGAAAGAGATATCTTAGCAAATAAAAGTAAATTTGTCGATACTAAATAAGTTTTTGATAGTTACATTCTCTGTTGATAGCAAAACACTTTTCAATTTTGACTCCACAGAAAATGATACCAATAACTTTTGCCAGAAATAATACTTACATATTTTGATACTAAATGGCCTTTCGCTATACATGTTTCTTGAGAAGATTACCATACCAAACTTAAAAAAGATCTTCCTTAAACGTAGGTTGATTTTGAAGAATAAGACACCCATCATGATACTGATATAAACTTTAGATCCCCCAATTGCCTTATGTAATGGTACAATGATAGTACGTATGGAGGTTAGTCAATAATATCATACATGCCGAAATTATAATGGGCCAATGTGCTTTAGGTATTATGTTAATATAATAACATTGATTTTTAACATTTCAAAGATGTAGCGTTGTATCCATGTCAATACTTTACAATGATTCTTTCTTCATGTATATTCTAATATAATTAGTTTCTTATTCCGTCACATAAATAATTGACGGAAGATTTACGTGCAACGCACATACATAGAGACTAGTACTATATTAAAAGTACGAAACCCCTTAGTGAAATGATGTTCACATTTTTTACCCTTTAAAATCTGATTTTACCCTGAACAGAATAGTCATTTAATTATTTATAATATCTAAGGGTTTAAAATTATTAATTATTTCTAATATTTAGGAAAATTTTGCTTATCATATCTTTCCTTTGTTTGAACTATATTGAAAGTCCTAATATTTAGAACTTTAAAATTATTAAAATTTTACTTTATATAGTTTCTCCTGTCACGAATGCCTTGTCAAAAATAGAAGCTTGTTCACAGCAAATCTATATATCATATTCAATGAGTAAAAAATTATTTAAACATTATATTTAAATTATAAAATAAGAATAAGTAACTGAAGATAATGAATGATAATTATGTATAACTAACTCTATAAAGAACTCCGAAATTAAAATTGATTTTGAAGCGTCATTGTTTAAGTGTTGGACCTAAGACTACAATATATAGTAGTAGTATTTAACTGACGTCGACTACATCACCCAACTTTTAGTTAAAAATCCGCCTAATTTCCAACACCATTTTATTTTGAAAATACCAAAGGAAACAAGAAACTCCAAAAACAACTGTGTATAAATGTGAAAAATGTGAATATTGAAATATGTCCCTCTTTTCACCTTTGACATAAAGGTCGACATCGGTCTTGGAAAGTAATACTCCAGAATGTGGTCCAATAGCCATCTAATGTAAAGAAATAATGAATTACAATTTGCAAACAATTAGATAAAGAAATTAAATTGTTAAACACCAAAAGTTTATGTCCTGTTTTATAACACCTTCACCTCAAACTCTCAGCAGCTCCGTTAACTACCTCCATTTTCACGTTCATTGAAATTAAATAATTTAAAATTTAATCATACGTACATAACACATTAATTTGAATTCGAATTTTCCACACATTCAACTCTTTTTTCCCATTAGTAATTTTCTCATAAATATAAGTGTATATAGTGTTAATTCACTTTTTAAATAGTGGCTGTTGTGCGAATACTATGCTCCTTCAAACTATAGGGATATATAAATAGAAAGACAAACTTCCTCTCTCTCATTTTATATGACAATGTTTGACTGATTTTAAAGTTTTAGAGAGAAAAAAATTGTTGGTACATACCAAAATATATATTTTTTTATAGCTTATGATCATAATTATGCCATGATATTTCTATAGATATAAAAGATGTGCTTTAGGTAAGAAAATGAAGAAAAAAATTCAAATATAATATGGTGATATTCTTTTTGGAACAACCTAAGTATGAAAAAAATTGTAACGCAAAATGAAACAAATGAGATAGAGAGTATGTGTATAAATTCGATTGAAGATTTTTAAAATATATATATATATATATATTGATATTGTAAAAATTATCAATCGTCTCTACATGTGGTAACATGTAATTTATCTTAATTTTTAAATTATTAATCATATTTTCTATGAACAATCCAAGTAGATATAATTACTTATGTGACCTGATAGCGTAAAATTCAGTACATTATTAATTAGAATATGCAAGTGAAACTCTTAAATTATGCTTGAAGTGCACATCTATGATCATAAAAGAAGTCATCATGGGTGCAATGCTACATTATCAATGCTTCAAGGTTTCTTTTTTTAAAAAAAGGCATAGTGATAACAGTCATCATTAGAAAATATGTAAATCAATTAATTAATTATAAGTAAGTGGAGAAAACAAATGTCGTATATTAATTGGTTTACTTAGATACGATAATGCCAACAAGTTTTTCATTGAAGGTAAGAGAATGGGGTGGGGTGGCAAAGGCAGGTACCACGTGCCAGGAGTCATTGAAAGATCAGTTCATATTTAAAGAACTCCCCAACTAATCCAAACCAAACAATGAACCAAAATTTAATTGCACCATTTTCTACCCCATTACTTCTTCTGTGAAGTAGAGCAAAAAAAACAATCTTGTATTTCAGATTTGTACCTTCACATTGTTGTCTCCTCTCAATTCTTGAACCATATTGCTTCACACTGCCCAATCAGATTGAAAAAATTCACATTCTTTAATTCTTTCTCTAAAAGATTGAAACTTTCTGCAAATTTTTGACACCCCACTTCATATTACAGTGTGAATTAGCTATTTTTGCTATACGGGTATGTATATTTTCTCTTTTAATCAAACTGGAAAAGTTTAAATTTACTGCTGAGCACCTCTGGTGAATTTAACTTGTAATTTTTCATCTGTAGATTCTTGATTTTTTTTATTCTGTTTGTTTTTCTGATTTCCTTTTTCTTTTTCTGCTGTGTTGTCTTTATTGTTGTTGTTAAGTATATATATTTTGAGTTTGAGTTGATATGTGATTAGTTGAAAGAGTACTTCTCCTCTTGCAATTGAAAATAAAAAAGATCTTTTTTTCTGGTTTTGTTATTGCATTTCAACATTTTCTAGTTATTATGATGCTGTTATTATTTCTTTGGTTTCTGTTTAATGGTACTAATGTATTGTCCCTTCCTTCTCTTCTCTTCTCGTCTTTTCCGTCTTCTTGAGCCGAGGTTCTACCTAGGGGTAANGGGAATGCTATTCACTTTGAATCATATGATCATAATATAGTTCATGCTGCATTTCTTGTCATATGTAAAGTTGCTTACTTGGTAGGTTGCTAATCCATTTTTATTTTTTGTGAACTTAAGTAATCTACTATTTTATTACTATTTTTTTAAAATACTGATAAGGCTTAGGTTATCTAGTTTTGTCACTTGAAGATTGGACTATGCAATAGGAGATCAAGAAGTAGCAGTAGGTCGCTTGTCTCTCAATTTTGTTTTAGTTGATTTAGTTGTTGGATGATTTATTATTGCAGCCAAAAGCAGCCCTTTTTGAAATTGTACATTCCCTCTTGGTTGCAACATGTCGGAAGCTCAAAGGATGCCAACAATGATCGGGATCAAGAGTGGAAATGGACACGTCAATGGTGCACTTCCATTGAGGTCTCCAATGGCTAGAGCTGAAGTTGCTGAGTTCTGTAATGCCCTTGGTGGGAAGCGGCCTATTAATAGTATCTTAATTGCAAACAATGGAATGGCAGCTGTCAAGTTTATACGTAGTATTAGGACGTGGGCATACGAGACATTTGGTACAGAGAAGGCAATTTTGTTGGTTGCAATGGCTACGCCCGAGGACATGAGAATAAATGCAGAGCACATTAGAATAGCTGATCAGTTTGTAGAAGTTCCTGGTGGGACGAATAACAACAACTATGCCAATGTGCAGCTCATTGTGGAGGTCTGTAGATATCTTTTTAAGGATGTCATCTAATTAATATAGTACTTCATTATCCTAATACAAGATGAATTATTGCTGATTTTATAATATGGTTAAATGAGAAAGGATCATCAAGCCGATGAGAACAATTTATCTCCACATAACTTGGTCTCGCATGTCCATATGGTTGTTCTTGTAAGGGGGACAAGGGACTCAATGCCAAAAACAAAATGCAAATACTTATACATGGTGTTTCTTTTGCGTAGATGGCAGAGATGACTCATGTTGATGCAGTTTGGCCTGGTTGGGGTCATGCATCGGAAAATCCCGAACTGCCAGATGCATTGAATGCAAAGGGGATCATATTTCTTGGGCCACCAGCTATGTCAATGGCAGCACTAGGAGATAAAATTGGTTCATCTTTGATTGCTCAAGCAGCAGAAGTACCCACACTCCCATGGAGTGGCTCCCATGTAAGTTTTTATGCTTGTGATTCTGCTCTGTTGGTTTCGTAGTGGTTAGTCTGCATTTAATGGACAGCATTTCGATCGCGCAGGTGAAAGTTCCTCCGGAAAGCTGTTTGGTCTCTATCCCAGATGAAATATATGCTAAAGCATGTGTTCATACGACGGAAGAAGCAATTGCTAGTTGTCAAGATGTAGGTTATCCTGCAATGATCAAGGCATCCTGGGGCGGTGGTGGTAAAGGCATAAGAAAGGTTTGTCTTTTGGTAAAAAAGGCACTGCGAGTAGTGCAAATATCAAATTAGTTTAATATATTCTTCTTGCAAAAAGATATAGAAAAAGTAAGCAGGTATTCATTCGACCTACCTACATGGCTTACTCGCTCATTCCAGGTTCATAATGATGACGAAGTTAGGGCACTATTCAAGCAAGTTCAGGGTGAAGTTCCTGGCTCCCCAATATTTATAATGAAAGTTGCTTCTCAGGTTCAGCCAACTTCTTTCTTGTCTGACCCTAAAGCTTCAACATATCTTTGGAGAGAATCTTTTAAACATTAGAATTGTTTTTTGATTTTCAAATAACTAGAGTCGGCATCTAGAAGTCCAATTACTATGTGACCAATGTGGCAATGTTGCAGCATTACACAGCCGTGATTGTAGTGTTCAAAGGCGACACCAAAAGGTTAGCTTGTATTTAACTTTTGATTATTGTTTAGTAATGAATTATAAAGACAATGCGTATCTTCCATTTGCAAGTTGAGGCAAATAGCAGAGCCTTCATGAGGCAGCCACGCGTACATCAGTGGAATGTCATCACTAATGTGTTTAATTTTCTTCAACTTAGATAATTGAGGAGGGCCCAATTACAGTAGCTCCGCTAGACACAGTGAAAAAACTTGAGCAGGCTGCTAGAAGACTGGCCAAAAGTGTCAATTACATTGGAGCTGCCACTGTTGAGTATCTTTACAGTATGGACACTGGAGAGTACTATTTCTTGGAACTCAATCCTCGGTTACAGGTGGTGATACTGCCATCTGCTTGAATGTGCACAATTATTTTTTTACCACGTAGAGGAACGCATTGATCTAAGTTTTTTTTCTTCTTTTTTTGGCATTTAGGTCATAATTATCTCATGCTTGTTTAAAGCCAAAGCTTTAATAATCATGAATTAAGTTGATGTTGATTGTGATCACCTCCATGACGATCTGGAACCTTTTTATTTATATTACATCTTTCGCATTCTATTAGGTTGAACACCCTGTAACTGAATGGATAGCAGAAATAAACCTGCCAGCGGCTCAAGTCGCTGTTGGAATGGGAATTCCTTTGTGGCAAATTCCAGGTTTTGTACCAGATGTTGTCGCTTTTCTCGGCTTAAGATGTTTAGGTTCTTCTTTTTCCTATTTTTGAAGCTTTCTTTTTGATTCTATTAGAAATAAGGCGATTCTATGGAATGGAACATGGTGCCGGATATGATGCTTGGAGGAAAACATCTATTGTTGCGACACCATTTGATTTTGACAAGGCTGAGTCGACAAGGCCAAAAGGTCATTGTGTGGCTGTACGTGTAACAAGTGAGGATCCTGATGACGGTTTTAAGCCTACCAGTGGTAAAGTACAGGTAAAATTTCTTCTGGAAAGTTTCAATTCCCTTTTCTAGTCCTGTGCTTTTAGGATGAACATTTGTTAATTTACATTTCATAATGTAGGAGCTGAGTTTTAAGAGCAAACCAAATGTGTGGGCGTACTTCTCTGTCAAGGTACTTATAAACTAGATGGAAATAGAATGTTGGGGTGCTTAAATTTTTGCCGAGCGTAATAAATCTTTTTCTTTGCAGTCTGGTGGAGGCATTCATGAATTTTCAGATTCTCAGTTTGGTAAGCTGAAGTTTAATTATGCAGTTGTCTTGTTCTTTTTGACTTTTCTTGAATTTTCAGCTGAAAAAGTTGATGCTTTCTGATAGTAACCAGAAGTAGAAAATAGAAGAAATAGAATAAAGAAGTTAATATTATTGACAATAGCTTGTGCAAGAATCTTAAACACAATTACACCTATAAAGTTGTCCGTATGGAGAGGACAAGGCTCCAAATAAAGTACTTTTACTTCTGATAGAACATGCCTAAATAACTAGTGCTAATTACATATTTATAGAACCACATAATAAGATAAGATCAGACAACTAAAAACTAGAATATACTTAACTGCTGGAGCAGTTGTTGGTTGACAGTTTCATCAGATATGCATTTCAGAAACTGTAGCAGTTGTACTTCATCAAGAGCATTCAATTCTTNAGGAATAGACTAAACTGCTGGAGCAGTTCCAGGCAGCAGTTGTTGGTGGACAGCTTCATCAGATGTGCATTTCAAAAACTGCAGCAGTTGTACTTCATCAAGATTATTCAATTCTTTATCCTTTTGCTGATACTTTCTTCTTTCTTCTAGAATAAGTCTTTAGAATTGGGACTTTATCAGTGCACCCCCCGAAAAGATGCCTTGTCCTCAAGGCAGAAAGAAGGAAATTGAACAGCAAGCAGGTCATAGTCTTCCCAACTAGCCTCTTCAATAGGACGATGATACCATTGAATAAGTAGTTCCAGAGTTGACACTCCAGATTCTTTCACCCAACGATGCGATAAAACTTTTTCAGGTTCCAACATGAGTTCCAATTCACCCGAAAGTGGTAAGGGTGGTGGAGAGGTAACATCAGAACAACCACGAGCAGGGCGAAGCAACAAAACATGAAAAAAGGGATGAACCTTGGATGTTTGAGGCAGCTGCAATTCATAAGCAACAGGACTTTGCGCACAATTTTGTACGGGCCAAAATATTGAGGAGAAAGCTTCTCATTAGGACGTTTGGCTAAACTCTTCTGCCGATAAGGTTACAGACGAAGGAAGACAGCATCACCCACATTAAAAGATAAGTCACGCCGCTTGGAATCGGCTTGAGATTTCATCCTGGATTGTGCCTTCAAGAGATTGGAACGTAGTAATGTTAACATCTGATCTCGCTCCACGAGCTGCTGTTCAAGGTCAGCAATTTTAGTTTCGCCCATGAACAAAAGAATGCAAGGGCGGTGGCTCTCTTCCATACACAATCTGGAAAGGGGTCATATTGGCTGAAGAATGGTAACCAGTATTGAAAGAGTATTCAGCCCAAGGTATATACTGAAGCCATGATTTTGGCTTGTCGTGTGCAAAACAGCGCAAATACGTTTCAAGGCATCGATTGACTACCTCCTTTTGACCATCAGATTGGGGATGATATGAAGTACCCATACGGAGACGCGTGCGACTAATGCGAAAAAGTTCCTGCCAAAATATACTTGAGAAAACAACATCACGATCCGAAAGAATGGAGCGAGGTAAACCATGCAATCTGACAATTTCTTTACAGAAAACACCAGCCACCCTTTCGGTAGTGAAGGGATGAAATAAAGCCAGAAAATGGTTGTATTTGCTAAACCTGTCCACCACGACAAGAATAGTATCAAAGCCATTAGAAGGAGAAAGTCCAACAATGAAGTCTAAGGAGATATCCTCCCAGACTCTGTTAGGAACAGGCAGAGGTTGTAAGAGACCAGCTGGAGCTAATGTTTCATATTTATGTTGCTGGCATATCAAACAATTCTGGACAAACAACTTAACATCATGCTTCAAACAAGGCTAGAAAAAATTTGCAGATACTCTTCTGAGAGTTTTTAAGTATCCTCCATGCCCTCCAGTTGGAGAATCATGCGCCTCTGCTAAAATCTTGGCTTTGAGCTCAGGATAATCGGGAATAACCAACCGAGATTTGTAATAAAGATGGTTAGCAGACAACGAAAAATCTGGATGAGTTGAAGGATCAGAAGAAAGTTGATCTCAAATCTGCTTAGTATATGGATCAACTTCAATTGTTTCTCTCAAATCACTAAAGTCTAATGGAATAGGCATTACCAAAGTAAAAAAATCAGCATGTTGAGGGCGACGGGATAAGGCATCAACTCCTTTGTTTTCACTTCCAGACTTATAGACAATAGTGAAATCAAAAGGCAACAATTTAAGCAACAATCGTTGCTATTCAGCAGTAGTCACCCGTTGATTCAAGAGTTATTTGAGGCTGCAATGGTCAGTGGTGACAATAAAATGTCGGCCCAGAAGATAGTGCTTCCATTTTTGCAATGCAAGGACCAAAGTTAATAACTCGCGATCATAAGTAGATTTAATGCGATTAGAAAAGGAGAATCCCTTACTAAAATATGCAATGGGATGGTACTGTTATAGTAGAATAGCCCCTACTCCATCAGATGAAGCATCACACTCAACTGTAAATTGTTGAGTAAAGTCGGGAAGATGAAGCACCGGAACTGATGTCAAAAACCTCTTCTACCTTTGCATTCCAGTGAAAAGCATCTTTCTTGGTCAATTCTGTTAAAGGATGAGCAATGATCCCATAGTTCTTAACAAACCGCCTGTAATACCCTGTGAGACCTAAAAAACCACGAAATTCCTTGACATTTTTTGGCACAGGCCATTCCAAAACAACGGATATTTTGTCCGGATCCACGGCTACTCCATCTCAGGGAATCACATGGCCCAAAAATCCAACTTGGGGTTGTCCAAATAGACATTTTTTTGGATTAGCAAAAAAGAAATTGACGGAGAGAAGATGAAGGACTGTTTGCTGGTGTTGTTGGTGTGTTTGAGGGTCAGGACTATATATTAGAATATCGTGAAAGAAAACCAGGATGAATTTTCTAAGATATGGTCTGAAAAGATCGTTCATGGCAACTTGGAACGTGGAAGGTGCATTAGTGAGCCCAAAAGGCATTACAAGAAATTCGTAAGGGCCTGAATGAGTGCGGAAGGCAATTTTATGGACAACATCAGGTTGGACTCGGATTTGATGGTATCCTGAACGTAGATCAATTTTTGAAAAAATAGTAGGTCCATGTAACTCATCAATATTGGGTATGGGATATTTGTCTGGTACAGTGATTTTGTTAAGGCTACGGTAGTCCACACAAAACCTCCAAGAATCATCTTTATTTTTCACTAACAGAACTGGGCTAGCAAAAGGACTTGAGCTGGGACGAATGAAACCGGATTCTAATAAAGCAACAACTTGGTTCTCAATTTCAGTCTTTTGGCTATGTGGGTAACGATAAGGTCTTATGTTTGGAGGTTTAGAATTTGGTAACAGAGGAATAACATGGGAATATGTTCTAAATGGTGGAAGAGAGATCGGTTCAGAAAACACAGACTGAAACTCATCTAAAAGTGTCTGAATTGGATTACCTGGATTCTCTGATAACTTGTTAAAAGATTGGAGGGAAGCCACAGTGGAATTCGCCAATCTCACCCCTTGCAATTTGTAGCGTTTCCCTTGCCAATTGAAAATTATGAACATATCGTTCCAGTTAGCTTGAATAGTGTTAAGAGAAGCTAACCATTTGATACCAAATACCAAATCAGCCCCTCTAATTGCAAAAGGGTAGTAATCCTAAGTGATGGTTAAGCCTAAGCCTGACAACTAAATTTGAAGATTCCGGCAAACTTTATTGCAACGTATGATGTCCCCATTCCCTATCTGCACACCAAATGTTGGAACAATTTTTACTGGAAGTTTATGCTCTTCTACAATGATGGTTAAGCCTTGCAACTGAATTTGAAAATTCCGGCAAACTTTATTGCAACGTATGATGTCCCCATTCCCTATCTGCACACCAAATGTTGGAACAATTTCTACTGGAAGTTTATGCTCTTCTACAATGGATTCAGCCACAAAGTTATGCGTGGAACCACTATCCACAAGTATTAAAACCTGTCTCTGGTTGATTGCACCCTAAAGCTTCATTGTAGTACCAACTGAGTGTCCTAAAGCTTCTTGAGGGTCACCACCGCTGGTGGCGTTGATGTCATCAACATCATCTAATTGATCTCCTCCTGTAAGTTCCATGAGAGATAGTTTTGTAGATTTGCATCTATGACCTGGTGCAAATTTCTCGTGGCAACGATAACAAAGTCCCTGTGCCATGGGATTTCTCCTCTCGATATCCCATATTCGTGTTTGAAGTGGTTGGGAGGCTGATGGGTTGGTAGAAACATTGCTTCGTGAATTTTGATGTGCAGAGGAAGAAGCAGCATTATCCTGGGCATTTTTAATAGAGTGCAATGGGTTTTGTATAGTGGGTCTACTGGTTGGGGTCCAATTAGGCCCTCTATTGCTGCGAACTGGGCCTAATTTGTTTTCAAATTCAAGTGCCAAACTCATTGCTCTGTAAACTGTTCTGGGTTTGTGAATTCTAACATCAGATTTAAGTTCTTCCTTTAGCCCATTTAAGAACACACCTAACAAACAATGATCTGGCCAGTTTGTGACTCTAGAAGAACGTTTTGCAAATTCTTGACGGTACTCCTGTACATAACCTGTTTGTTGGATGCTACAGAGATGCTCGTCCGGGTTTTGGAACTCCGCAGGACCATAATTTTCTTGCAATGCTTTCACAAGCTCTTTCCAGTACAACAACGTCCGCTCACGATTAATCCAAGAGAAGAGATCAAGAACATCGCCTTCTAGATACATTGCTGCAATGTCAATTTTATGTTCTTCTGGAGTTTGATAGTAGCAGAAATATTTTTCTGCTTTCAAAATCCATCCTCTAGGATCACCTCCTTCAAATCTAGGGAATTCCATCTTCGTGTGTGGCCTCCGTGAAGGATTTTTTGGCCACCTTGGACTATTGATATCTTCTTCCTCTTCTTGCCAAGCGGACTTTCCTCCATGACGGGTTCGGTAACTGGTTTCCTCTTGTTGGGTGCCACCAGTCTGGGCTTTCAATGTCTGCTGCCAGTGAATCAATTGAATTCAATTTTGATGCTATGACAGATAATTGTCGGGCAAGGGATTCAACATTGGGAACGTCTTCTTGAGAATTAGAAGATCTGGTATTGACCATTTTGGATCGATCTGCTCTGATACCAAACTGATAGTAACTAGAAGTAGAAAATAGAAGAAATAGAATAAAGAAGTTAATATTATTGGCAATAGTTTGTGCAAGAATCTTAAACACAATTACACCTATAAAGTTGTCCGTACGAAGAGGACAAGGCTCCAAATAAAGTACTTTTACTTCTGATAGAACATGCCTAAATAACTAGTACTAATTACATATTTATAGAACCACATAATAAGATAAGATCAGACAACTAAAAACTAGGAATATACTAAACTGCTGGAGCAGTTGTTGGTTGACAGTTTCATCAGATATGCATTTCAGAAACTGCAGCAGTTGTACTTCATCAAGATTATTCAATTCTTTATCCTTTCGCTGATACTTTCTTCTAGAATATGTCTTTAGAATCAGGACTCTATCACTTTCCTAGTTAAATTTTTTTAATATCAACCTAGAATATTCAGCTTCAATTAGGCAGTTGCTTCTTTTTTTGGGTCTACCAGGGTTACGACTCGAGTTTGTAAAAGATTATGAACTTTTCTTTTCATTTGAATTCCTTCGTTTCTTCTTTCGGGAAATACTTTGCATCATTCTATTTATGGACAAAAGCATACCTCAGAAGATGCATTAGGACTAAAGAGTTCCTTTGCATCTCAAGCTGTGTTATGCAGTTTTCCCACCTCTATAAGTTAAAAACATTATAAACCAGGTTTAATTACTTTCACTTAACTGAAGAATAATCACCAGTGAAGCATGCATATATCAATCTCTTTTTAATTTGTGAACTAGTTAAAGCATAGCTATTAAACTCATGCTGTTTCCAGAAGAATTGTTAACAATAGGAAATTGCTATCTAACACAAGATTAATTAGAAATATCAAACTTGTATCTGGGTTTGTGTCAGCCCGTGCAGATTTGCATCAAATTTCTGCTACGTTCAACTTTTCTGTGTATGTGTGAGTGTGCATTTAGCCTATTTCTGACTTTGCTTCATTTTTATGCCAACTCTATTCTGGTTCTTCCTATAAATTTGTGACAGTGTTATCAAACATTGGCTGGAAAATTGCTAGAAGTTCTTATAAAAATGTTTCCACATACGCTATCAGATATCATACCTTGTATTTCAAAATATGAGTGCCCAGCAAAAAACTCTAAATATTGTGTCTAACCTATTGAATTTATGGATTGCTATATCTTGACGCAGGACATGTTTTTGCTTTTGGAGAGTCCAGAGCCCTGGCCATTGCAAATATGGTCCTTGGACTGAAGGAAATCCAGATCCGAGGAGAGATTCGTACAAATGTTGATTACACAATTGATCTATTGCATGTAAGAGTCTCAGATAATCAAAAAAGTTCAGGACCAACTCCATCCGAGTGTTATTTCTCTGCGTTAAGTTACACATTTTCTGCAGGCTTCAGATTACAGAGAAAATAAGATACATACCGGCTGGTTGGACAGTAGAATTGCCATGAGGGTTAGAGCAGAAAGACCTCCTTGGTATCTTTCTGTGGTTGGAGGAGCTCTTTATGTAAGTTTCCCGTTTCATGACTGATGTTAGATTCCTAAAGGTTTTATCTTGGGAATTTACTTGCAAAATTGATACCAGTATACCGTGTTGTCACTTGTCAATCTCAGAAAGCTTCTGCAAGTGGTGCAGCCTTGGTTTCTGAATATATTGGTTATCTTGAAAAAGGACAAATCCCACCCAAGGTATTCAGTCTCAGAATGTTTGTCCTGGTCAAAATCTTACATTTTCTCCATCTCTTTTTTGGAATAACCCATCATCCATCTATGTGCAGCATATTTCCCTTGTGAGCTCTCAAGTCTCACTAAACATTGAAGGGAGCAAGTACACAGTAAGTAGGATGCTGTACTCGCTTCATTCTACATGTTGTTGTGACGTTGTCTTCGTGGTATCAGTAGAAAAAGGGAAATTAGCTAATACTATCCTGCTAGCGCTACAAAAGAGTGATAAAGTTGTTTCCAGTTCTTTTTTGATTCTGCTTCATGGACTGTTTGCAACTTAGTAATTGGTCGGTTTTGTCTCTTAGATTAATATGGTGAGGGGAGGACCAGGAAGCTACAGGTTGAGGATGAATGAGTCAGAGATCGAAGCAGAAATACATACTCTGCGTGATGGAGGACTACTGATGCAGGCAATAATCAATCCCTCTGCAACTTCTCTATATACCCTTTTACCAGAAACTACACTATTGTCTGTAGTAGCCATAAGCTTTTATGTTGCATAGAATTTGTAGAACCAATGTGGGGAAAGACTAATTGATTCTTTTTTCAAATACGAAAATTATATTATTACATCTAAGTTCCCTTGATCACTGCAGCTGGATGGAAACAGTCATGTTATATATGCAGAGGAGGAAGCAGCTGGAACTCGCCTTCTAATAGATGGAAGAACATGCTTGCTGCAGGTGCCGATAATTATTCAGTTCCCAATATATTTTTATTTATTTAAAAAACGGCACCTTCTTATATATAGCTTTCGTCGGTTCCAGAATGATCACGATCCGTCAAAGTTAATTGCGGAGACACCTTGCAAACTTCTGAGATATTTGATGTCTGACGGTAGTCATGTTGATGCTGACACACCTTATGCAGAGGTTGAAGTGATGAAGATGTGCATGCCCCTTCTTTCACCTGCTTCAGGAGTTATCCATTTTAAGATGTCTGAAGGTCAAGCAATGCAGGTACTGTATTAGCAATAAAGCATATATTTCTTTTCTCCGCAGCAACTTAAAGATAACTTTGTTTGTAGGCTGGTGAGCTTATAGCATCACTTGATTTAGATGACCCTTCTGCAGTAAGAAAAGCAGAGCCTTTTCGTGGAAGCTTTCCTATTTTGGAACCTCCAACTGCCATATCTGGAAAAGTTCATCAGAGATGTGCCGCAAGTCTTAATGCAACAAGGATGATTCTTGCCGGATATGACCATAATGTTGATGATGTAGGTAACTTATAATTTGGAGTTGATGTAGAATGTAATTGCTTGTGTAACATCTTTTTGTGAACAGTTATCTAGAAAATATTTTAACCAATACATAATGAAATAAATTCTGATGAACACAACTTAATCTTCCGATCCAGGTGGTTCATAACTTGCTAAGTTGCTTAGACAGTCCTGAGCTTCCATTTCTACAGTGGCAAGAATGCCTCTCCGTACTGGCAACACGACTTCCGAAGGACCTCAGATATGAGGTAAATGGTCGGATAATGATTTCTTTCCTCTCTTATGGGAAATTAGTAGATCTCTGGCTAATTATTTCGCTTTATGTATTCTTGTTGCAGTTGGAAGCAAAATATAAGGAATATGAGGGGATTTCGGGCTTGCAAACTGTCGACTTCCCTGCTAGAATTCTGAGAGGTGTCCTTGAGGTGAGTCTTTTACTACATTTTCTTTTTCTTCACACTAATTTTTTTTGGTTATTTCTTTTTAACGTTCACATACTATCTTTTCTAACATTGATTTATTTGTCTATCATTCTCTGCTTTGCTTTAGGCTCACCTAAGAACCTGCTCAGAAAAAGAAAAAGGAGCTCAAGAAAGATTAGTTGAACCTTTAATGAGTCTCGTCAAGTCTTATGAGGGTGGAAGAGAGAGCCATGCCCGTGGTATCGTCCATTCCCTTTTTGAAGAGTATCTAACTGTTGAAGAATTGTTTAGTGACAATATCCAGGTGGGTTGTAATGCAAACAATTATTGTGTGATAATCATCCTCTGCATGACTAGATATCTAAGTTCGAGCATCTTTATAGTTTGGAATATATACCTTCAGCATCTGCAATTAAACAACGGTTATAGAAAATTATAACCATTATATCATATGAGGATATAGAGTTACTCAAAGTGAGATACTAGAAATGTAAAGTACCAGAAAACTTAATTCCTCCGACTTAGTCAGCCTTAATCCCTTGAGGGGCCTTTCCATTTTCTTTAACAGAATTTTCTTATTATTGGTATGGTAAACAATACCCAACTTCTTTCCAACAAAGCGGCCTGTTCTATTCATATACGGTATACCATGATTTTTCTAAAATGATTTACGTTGTAGATCATCTTATGCATTCTCATCTTATTTGTATTATGTACCATAAGAAGCTAATATTTTATTGTCAATCATCTCTCTAGAAGGCCTCAAGATCATTTGGATTATCAAAATGCTACTTATTGTTGCATGTTCTCCATCTTATCATGTTGTCAATATGTAACATTGCATATCTTGATTTCTTGGTTATGTTATGTTATTCAGTTCTGATGCCTTCCTTTTTCAGGCTGATGTGATTGAACGTCTCCGGCTTCAATATAAGAAAGATCTCTTGAAGGTTGTCGACATAGTGCTTTCTCATCAGGTATAAGCTAATTGTTAATGTATTCACTTTCCTTTCTTCTGCTGTTGTTAAGCTGGAAAATATGCGGTACCATTAATGTGTTATTTTCCAGGGTGTTAGGCGTAAAAATAAGCTTATACTTAGTCTGATGGAGCAACTGGTATATCCCAATCCTGCAGCATACAGGGAAAAACTTATCCGTTTCTCAGCACTCAACCATACAAATTATTCCGAGGTTGGTATTCCATACATCTTTTGTAAAGACATTGATATCCGTACTTGCATTGTCCTGTGCTTGCGGGAACTTGAGTAACCTTATCTTTTGCTTTTCATATCTTTGACATACAATCTTGATATTAAGTCAAAACTTCCTGGAATGACTCTTGCTCTCCCTGGGGACCATCTAGTCCCAATCCTTCATCACATCCTTCTGCTCTCTCTCTCTCTCTCTCTCTCTCTCTCAATCAATCAATCAATATACCGATCATTAGAAGAAGCAAAAGGAAGGGAAAAAAAAAGAAAATGCAAAGGATCCTTATATTCTTTTAATGGTTCATTTAGTGGCTCATCATTAGATACCATTCTAGAAAAGACAAAATACATAAGTGAACTATGGACCAAATCCCTGTTATATACTTTTTGCGGACGAAAATCATCTTGCACGCTCAACCTTTCCAAAGTGTGCATAAGACACACCACTTTTATTACATGGAAGGCACGTGTATAATCAAAAAGATAAAGAGCGTGAACCCTTTAAAAAAAAAATCAATTCATGTTTAAGTGCCACATGTCAAAATTTTATATATTTTCTTTGTTTTAAATTAATTGTTACCAGAACCCCACCCCTCCCTTCTCTTCTTCTTCCTCATACGCCTCCCCCCTTTTCATCTCTTTCACACATAACTTCCACCATTTCATCTCCCATTTTTCTGTTCTCGCTTTCTTTTTTCAGATCTGTAATGATGGATAGGAAAGTGGGTGATTTTGTAGGGGGGGCAAGTGGAAAATATGGATAGTTTTTTGGTGCTTGTTAGCACTCGCGGTATCCAGAAGCAAAGGCAACTTCAAGTTATAAGTCAAATTGACAAATAGAGCAAGTTTTTATGAATGCTCTTTAGTAAAACTGAGTTTAAACAGAATACTCAAAGTAATGAGCAATGACTAAAATTTCAGTTAATACAATTAGCTTGTAATTTGATTTGTGTAATGAATTTTAGATTTGGTATCAGCGAAATTGGTTGAATAAAATTGGTCATTGATAATGAAATAAGATTTAACTGTTCAAGATGTATAAATCCCTGAAAGCAGATGAACTGATGAAGCAGTTGGAAAACAAATAAATCAATTAGGCCGTATCACTTTCAACTTTGGTTGAGTTGGGCTGGAAATATGTTATTTCAAGGTCATGGGCTTCTTGTCGGAGATGGAAGATAGATGAAGGTGGAGAAGGGTGGCAGAGAAGATATGTAATTTCAAGGTCATGGGGTGTCTGGGAAGATGAGATGAAAGGGGGTAATTTGCAGAGAAGAGAAAGAAATGAAATGGAGAAGATGGTTAAGGGGTATAGTTGTAATTTTAAGTGTTTTATGTTTTAATAAAAAATAATGACACGTGTCACGACTTTATTGGTGCATGATATTACATATGTTTTGAAAAATTTGTCAAACAAAAGTAGTGTGTCTTAGGCACACTCTGGAAAGGTTGAGTGCAAGATGATTTTCGTCTGCAAAAAGTGTGTAACAGGGATTTGGTCTATAGTTCAGGGGGTAACTTATGTAGTTTGCCTTCTAAAAAATCACCTAGTGTGAATTTGTTTGACAACATTCTGTGATTCTCATCATTTATCAGTTTCTGTATTGTTAAGTGGGTTACGTTGAAACTCCTTGACAGAGTTTCTAATTCTCGATTTCATTTTACAGCTGGCACTGAAGTCCAGTCAACTCCTCGAACAGACTAAACTGAGTGAACTACGTTCGAGTATTGCCAGAAATCTTTCTGAGCTGGAGATGTTCACTGAAGAAGGTGACAGCATGGATACTCCTAAGCGAAAAAGTGCCATCAACGAAAGGATGGAAGTTCTAGTGAGTGCTCCGTTAGCAGTCGAAGATGCACTTGTAGGCCTTTTTGATCACAGTGATCACACCCTTCAGAGGCGGGTTGTGGAGACTTACATTCGTAGACTCTATCAGGTACTGTATTTCAAAGTCTTGATTTACTTGTTTCGGCGCATCTATATTTAAGACATATGTATAGTTTTTTAATTTAACTTTTGATATCTACTCCAGCCTTACCTCGTTCAAGGGAGTGTGAGGATGCAGTGGCACAGATCTGGACTAATAGCTACATGGCAGTTTATGGAAGAGCATGTGGAGAGAAAGAGTGGGTCTGGAGGAGACAACGTGATAGTAAAACCGTTAGTTGAGAAACACAGTGAGAGAAAATGGGGAGCCATGGTTATTATCAAATCTCTCCAACTCTTGCCAACAGTATTAAATTCTGCATTAAGGGAGACTGCGCATGACTTGCATGCAGAGATGTCGAATGGATCGACTCAACCAGTCAGTCATGGTAACATGCTGCACATTGCATTGGTGGGCATCAACAACCAAATGAGTTTGCTTCAGGATAGGTATCAAAAGTGTTATTATGTTTGATCTCGCAGCTAAATTTCTACTGCTAAAGTAACTTTTAAGTTAGATATATGGATAAATCATGAGGCACATATAAATAGATGCCCGTTAAAAGGAAGTAATAGGATAGACCTCTATCTGGCATGGCCAAATATTTTACATGTGTATCTGGTCCAATGATTTGCGAGAAACTGACTTATGGTACAAACCATTGTTTGCAGTGGTGATGAAGATCAGGCTCAAGAGAGAATTTACAAGTTAGCCAAAATACTGAGAGACAAAGATGCGAGCGCCAGCCTTAAAAGTGCAGGTGTAGGGGTTATCAGCTGCATCATACAAAGAGATGAAGGGAGGGTGCCAATGAGGCACTCCTTTCACTGGTCAACAGAGAAGCTATATTATGAGGAGGAGGCTCTACTGCGTCATCTAGAGCCTCCTCTATCCATTTATCTTGAATTGGTTTGTATTTTGTTTAACTACATTTTCTCCTGTTAACTATATCCTATATTACTATTGATGCTTTATTTTTGTAATTCTTGGACCATGAGCTGATCTTAGGTTCATAATTTCCCGGAAATGCAGGAAAAGCTTAAAATCTATGATAATATAAAGTATACTCCATCCCGGGACCGTCAGTGGCACCTCTACACTGTTGTAGACAAGCAGAATCCAATCCAGAGGATGTTTCTCAGAACACTTGTAAGACAACCAACAGATGATGGTTTACTAGCGTATCAAGGATTAAATCAGGGAACGGCTCATTCCTCTTTGAATTTGCCGTTTACTTCAAGGAGCATATTGAGGTCCTTAATATCTGCACTGGAAGAGCTTGAACTTAATCTCCATAATTCAACTCTCAAAGCTGACCATGCTCATATGTACTTGTATATTTTACGAGAGCAAGAGTTTGATGATTTGTTGCCATACCACAAGTCAGTAATTTTTTTGTCTTTATGCTTGCTATTAGGGACAAAAGTTGGCCCATTGCTCACTTCATGACTCTGTTGCAGGAGGGCAGACGTAAATAACGAGCACAAAGAAGCGGAAGTTCAGAAAATCTTAGAAGAGCTAGCTCATGAAATCAATGCTTCTGTTGGTGTGAGGATGCACAGGTTAGGCGTTTGTGAGTGGGAAGTGAAACTTTGGATATCATCTGCAGGAGACGCAACTGGTGCTTGGAGGATTGTGGTTGCGAATGTGACAGGTCACACCTGCATTGTGCATGTAAGTGGAATTTAGTATGTACTTGAAATTTTTTGATGGCTTATCTGATACAAAACTGACTTCTGTTGTGTTAGAGAGCAAATATCAGTCGATGCTTTGCGCTTGAACCGTGAATGGTTACTTTCTTTTGTTAGTTCTTTCTTTTTTCTTTTTTCTTCTATTACCTTTTCTGGTAAAGAGCTTGAAGTTAATCATGCTTATAATGGAAATGGTGTCTAGTTCTCTATTAGCCCATGAACTTTTGGACTCAGATAAGTTGTTCCGTTGTATTGACTTAAACCATTTGCTGGACCTGCATTCCGGCGGACATACTAATGCCTCATGACTTGTTTCATTCCAACTTCAAGTATTAGTTTCTGCCATAGAAGTCTGTGATTAACATTGACATCATGCTATTCGAAATTGAACTCTCAGATTTATCGAGAAGTGGAAGATACAGGTGTACAAAGAGTAGTGTATCATTCAGCTATTGGCCATGGTCCTTTGAATGGAGTGCCAGTAACAGCACCTTATCCACCGCTGGCTGTGCTCGACCAGAAACGGCTTTTAGCCCGCAAGAACGACACCACTTACTGCTATGATTTTCCACTGGTAAACATTTGAATGAAAGTAGACATTATGCCAGTTATTACCATCTGGATCAATGTCAACATATCATAAAATTCCCTTGTGCAGGCATTTAAAGCAGCACTGGAGAAGTCTTGGGCAAGTCATAATCCTGGAACAGACAAGCCTAAGGACAATGTCCTCTTGAAAGTCACAGAGTTAACTTTTGTTGACAAAAAAGGAAGCTGGGGTACTCCTCTTGTCCCTGTGGAGCGCCAGCCTGGATTCAATGACGTCGGCATGGTGGCATGGATTATGGAAATGTCTACTCCTGAGTTCCCTACGGGCAGGAAAATTCTTGTTGTAGCAAATGATGTCACCTTCATAAATGGATCTTTTGGCCCAAGCGAGGATGCATTTTTCCAAGCAGTGACTGGTGTTTCTTGCACACAGAAACTGCCACTTATTTATTTAGCAGCAAATTCAGGGGCTCGTATTGGTGCAGCTGAGGAGGTAAAATCTTGCTTTAAAGTTGGATGGTCTGATGAATCGAACCCCGAGCGTGGTTTTCAGTATATATACTTGATTCCTGAGGATCATGAACGTATCAAATCTTCTGTCATGGCACATGAATTGAAGCTGTCAAATGGAGAAGTTCGATGGGTGATAGATACTATTATTGGAGAAGAGGATGGCCTGGGTGTTGAGAACTTAAGTGGCAGTGGAGCCATTGCAAGTGCTTATTCTCGGGCATACCATGAAACATTTACCTTGACATATGTAACCGGGAGAACAGTTGGAATAGGTGCTTATCTTGCTCGTCTTGGTATGCGGTGTATACAGAGGCTTGATCAGCCAATTATTCTTACTGGTTATTCTGCACTTAACAAACTTTTGGGCCGGGAAGTTTATAGCTCCCACATGCAACTTGGCGGACCTAAAATTATGGGAACTAATGGTGTTGTTCATCTGACTGTCTCTGATGACCTCGAGGGGATATCAAAGATTTTAAATTGGTTGAGCTTCGTTCCGCCATATTCTGGTGGTCCACTTCCTATTTCAACTCCATTGGATCCTCCACAGAGACCTGTTGAGTACTTCCCAGAGACCGCATGTGATCCACGTGCTGCCATCTCTGGCCACACGGATGCAAGTGGAAAGTGGCTGGGGGGCATTTTTGACAAGGATAGCTTCATTGAGACACTGGAAGGTTGGGCAAGAACTGTTGTGACAGGCAGGGCAAAACTCGGAGGAATCCCTGTAGGAATAGTTGCTGTTGAGACACAAACTATGATGCAAGTAATCCCTGCCGATCCTGGACAGCTCGATTCTCACGAAAGGGTTGTCCCTCAAGCAGGGCAAGTATGGTTTCCTGACTCTGCAACTAAAACAGCTCAAGCATTGATGGACTTAAATAGGGAGGAGTTACCTCTTTTCATTCTTGCCAACTGGAGGGGCTTTTCCGGTGGACAGAGGGATCTCTTTGAAGGTATCCTTCAGGCAGGATCAACCATTGTTGAGAACCTTAGAACGTACAAACAGCCTGTTTTTGTTTACATCCCTATGATGGGTGAACTCCGTGGTGGGGCATGGGTGGTTGTGGATAGTAAAATCAATTCAGACCACATTGAAATGTACGCAGAACGGACAGCCAAGGGAAATGTCCTTGAGCCAGAAGGTATGATTGAAATTAAATTCAGAACAAAAGAACTACTGGAGTGCATGGGTAGGCTTGACCAACAGCTTATAAATCTCAAGTTAATGCTTCAGGAAGCCAGGACTGCAGGAGTATACACTAATGTTGAGGCCTTACAGCAGCAAATTAAAACACGTGAGACACAGCTTTTGCCAGTATACACGCAGATAGCTACAAAGTTTGCAGAATTGCATGATACTTCGTTAAGAATGGCAGCGAAGGGGGTGATCCGTGAAGTAGTAAATTGGGAAACTTCTCGTTCATTCTTTTACAGACGTCTGCTTCGAAGAGTGGAGGAGGAGATGTTGGTCAAAACTGTGAGGAATGCTGCAGGGGACCAGCTTTCTTACAAATCCGCTATGGATATGGTGAAAACCTGGTTTTTGGATTCAAAAGGAGGCAAAGTAGATTCTTGGATAGATGATGAAGCCTTTTTCTCATGGAAGAATGACCCCAAGAACTATGAGGAACAATTACAACAGTTGCGGGTGCAAAAGGTACTAGTTCAGTTATCAAAGATTGGCGATTCGACATTGGATTTACGTGCTCTACCACAGGGTCTTCTTTCCCTCCTACAGAAGGTTAGCCGTCACTCTTTCAAAATTTTGTTCCACCACTATTATATCTTTACCTGTTTAAGGTGCCTGAAACAAGCTTCAAGTTTTGGTCTGCAGGTTGAGCCAGCAACCAGAGAGCAATTGATCAGTGATCTAAAAAAGTTGCTTAATTGATGAAGCAGCTTGTAACTAACGTTGCCAGCAATTGTTGTCTGCCATTTCTTCTAGGACAGTTTCCTGCCGGCCAGTGCATCTGCCTGTTAAGAGGAGCAGAGCGGTTAGCACTCAACCTGTACTATGATGATGGTTCTCTCTATTATATGTTGGACAAGCTTGGTAGACAAGTGGTTTAAATTTGTCTTGACGAGGTGTAAATAGTAGCATCTTGAGAGTGTAGGGTGTAGTCTTCATTTGTTTGAGCAGAAATATTCTTTACGTAGCAGGCTCCTTTTTATTGAAATTACTGCAGCTCTTTATGTATATTTGCATTGTTATCTTAGCCTGTCTAACAATTGGTTAGCCTTGAATGTCCAAATAAAATATGAGCTGTGACTCATGCTCCTGCTATTCAGTACAAGTGTTTTTTCTCATTTGGAATTGCAATCTTCTTTTTCTCTTTCCACTACTGGAGTATTATTTAGTGCTATTCACTGATATTATTAGTTTTTGATGACGGCATATGTATTCCTTACCCATGTTTAATTTATTGAAAGTAAAAAATTCTTCCTAGTTAATCACTAAGTAACTGTTGAAAAACAAAAATTACGTTGGAGTTGGCTGTCTAGATTATGTTAGATTGTTAGATTATTAAATAAATACAAAGCTAAACGATGAGGAACTTTACTAATCCATGAGGATATATATATCTGAGGGGAGAAAATGTCACTTCATGACCAGCTTAGCCGCTTATAGATGTTGATTAGCTTACTGAATGTAGATTTTCACCAATATAAATTAATTGGAAGAGCCTCAATTACTTATGATGAAGTTTTATTACTGATCAGTCATCAGTTTTGTGAGAGATGGCAATGGGGCGGGGCGAGTTTAGCCTTAACCCTTATCGCCCTGCACCGCATAGCAATTTTTTTTTATTTTCAACCCGCCCCGCGAAGCAAAACTTCCCTTTTTCATTTTTAATGTGCAGTTTCTCTTTGATTTTTTTTTAAAAGAAAAAATTAGCAATATAGCCTTCTTTCTTCTTTTTTCTTAGCCGTTCCTGTTGTGCTGCTGGATTATGGATGTCTACTAATTATATTGTTAGAAAATGTTTTTTAGCGTAATAATCCATAAAAGTAGTAATTTAATTAAAAAGTTAATTATATTAATCGGTATTAAATAGGAGTATATATTTTTAAAACTGCTAACGCTCCTACCCGACAGAAGCTGGCATCGATATTCTTTTCTTTTTGAGAACTATGAAGTTTGCACAAAAATAAACGGGTCAAAAAGTGTTGGTCATGCGATGGGTCCTTATAGAACAATTAAAGAAATTTAAGGAAAACAAAAAAGAAGAAAAAGAGCTTGAATGATTTGTAATATCTACGTCCAGATCATAGCTAGATATGACCTGCAAATTTAAGCTTAAAGGAGCAAGAAAAAGAGGAGGAGATAAATGAACTAAATTTTTTTTTTAAAAAAAAAATGTTAAAGATTAGCAAGGGGAAAATTATAAATGCCAAATACCACTGAGAAAGTCTATAAGAAATTTACTTGAACAGAAAAGTACAAAATAGTTGATTTTTTTTAATGAAGAGCCGTAATGTACGATACATGTATTGCTCAAAAGTCAAAACTGCCATCGTCCCGCAACCGCTTTGAATTTTTAAAATATTCTTGAACCCGTCCCACACTCGCCCAGCGCGAAAACTTACGAAAAAATATCAATTATGTCCATTTATAAATAGCTTATTATAAAAATTAGCTAATTCATAAAATATTACTAATATTAGTCAATTAGTTATTTGTAACCAAAGAAAGTCAAATTTTTGTTTTCTTTTGAGTGAGTGTTGTTAGAATAAATTGGGTACATCTAAAGAAGCTTGAATATTAGTTTTGGGATGATTTGGTGGAGTTTTGAGGTGATTTGAATTGAAAATTCGAAGTAGAAGATGAAGATGAAAAAATAACATGTATATCACATTGTGTATCAGATATGTATCATATTTGTATCAAATGTGTATCACATGTATTTCCATGTATACCTGCGTGTGAGATACATGTGTTATACATGTTTGATACATGTGTCACATAAGAACTTTTTGAACTCGATTTTAACTATGAATTTTGATACCATTTCAGTCCAAATCACCTCCAATCTTGCTAATTTTGTAAATTGACTCATATATATGTTTTCAATGAATCTCAACCATATCCATTACAAAAATTCTTTTTTTGCTTAGATTTTTGGAATCTGGTATACATATATATACACACCTTATTTGCTGCCTTATCCATGCAATTTTCTTTTTGTCTTGCATCTAATATTTTTAATCACGGTTAGAAATATAGAAGGAGATCTTTGTGTATGATTCTTAGAGAGAAAGAACCTTATTTTTTTAATTTTTATCTGTGTTTGGCTAGTTTTGGTCAGTCTATGATTTATGACTAGAGGTTGGTAAGTTGAGACTTTTTTGGAACATTTCTGTAAGATTCCCAACTTAAACTCGCCCGCCTTGCGTAATCTTAAACCCGAACCACCCAGCACCCGCACCTCCCCGTTTTCCATCCCTAGAACTTTTGTCTCTCACAGTAGAAGAGTTTGATGAACTAGTTCATTTCAGTAATAGGGCTAATGCCATTGGAACTTCTCCTAACACAATGAACCATTCAAAGTCATGTATTCAAAGCATATTCACTTCTTATCGCACTGTCTTTTTGACAATTCTGGAAATCCACACAATCTTTTGTTGGTTCTTCTCTTCTCCCGTTGGCAATATTACTTTTCGGTAGAACGAATTGCTAAGGCCAATTCTCCACGGGACAAGCCAGTTAATCCTGTGTTCGAAATAAAAAGGGAAAAAGTTCAAATTTATCCCTCCACCGTGAGAAAAGGATCAAATTTACCTTAAGAATATTCATGTGATGGCAAATGATCAGGTAGGGTTGGATTTGGATAGGTTAAAAATGGGTTGGGTTTCAACTCGCCCATATTTTATGCGGGTAAAAAATGGATTGGGTGTCAAATCGGTGGGTTGAATATGGGTTAACCCATATTATATAAGTGTAATATTTTTTCAAGTGCAATTTATGATTTTTCTTTTTTGGTAACAACTGTGAATATTACCATTGATAATAAAATTAATCAATACACCTAATGAGCTCCTAACTTCACAAAGAAACTGAGACTCCAAATCTCTAATTACACAATAGTCTCTATATGAATCCTTTATTTCTACTTCCTATATTTGACAGCTTAATCATCCCTATTCTCTCTTTTATCTCTTTCTTGAGTTGTGTAACTATAATATCCACATGTACAGTTCCATTTTGAAACAATTTTCTATTCCTGGCAGTCCATACATGATAGATTGTTGCACCCCATATGGCAGCCATCCCTTCCTTCTTGAGTTTCTTCCAGTGCTTCCTTCTAATTCGATCAAATACCAGTTTAGGATACCCCGCATACAATTGTGCTCATGTCCATTGCAGCAGTGATCTTCTTATAGCCTGTATCCATTGACAATTACCAAATAAATGTTGACTGGTCTCAACTTCTTGATCATCACATAAGCAGCAGTTCATATCTGGTACTATAATCCACATTTCCCTAGTCTTTTTTTTTGTCAGTGGTCTTTGTTTAGTTGCAAGCCAAGCAATACATCTGTATTTTGGCTGTGTAAATTTGCTCCAAAATAGGCTCGCATTATCCATCCTCTCTTGTCCTCTCAGTAATGAGTTATAGCTACTTGTTAGGGAATAGTCCCCTTTAGGAGTTAGTATATATTTACCCTGTACATACCATTCACGCATCTTCTCTTTAAGGGAGTTCAATATTTTTGTAACGACCCGGGTGATCGTTTCATGAGTTACATTTCCGTTTCCTCCATTTCTGCTTCTTTATGTATTGTTCAGCTGTATTTCGTCGTATCGTGTTGGTTGGTTCGGGTTCGAAGTGGTCGTGGAATGGAATGAGACACTTGGTCTCTTAATTAAGAAGCTTTAGTTGGAAAAGTCAACCGAAAGTTAACATGTGGATAAATGATCTCGGAATTGAAGTTTTATGGTTCGGATAACTTCGTTAGGTGTTAGGATTTAGGAGTGGATTCGGAATGTTATTTGGAGGTACGTGGTAGATTTGGGCTTGAATTGGCGAAATTGAAAATTTAGCATTTTTCGGTCGGCAGTGGAAATCTCGATATCGGGGTCGGAATGAAATTTCAAAAATTGGAGTAGGTCTGTTGTGTCATTGTGATATGTGTGCAAAATTTCGGGTCTTTCGGACGAGGTTTGATAGGTTTTGGCATCGTTTGCGGAATTCGGAAGTTTGAAAATCCTTAGGCTTGAATCCGAGGGTGATATGGTGTTTCGATATTGTTTTGAGTGTTCCGAAGGATGGTATAGATTTGAATGATGATATGTGACTTGTTGGTATGTTTGGTTGAGGTCTCGAGGGCCCCGGGATGGATTTGGGTGGTTGACGAGAAGTTTCACTTTGAGTTATTGCTGCAGATTTTGCTGCTTCTATCATTTCCCCACCTGCGGATTGGGGACCGCATGTGCAAGGACGCAATGCGGTAAGGAGATCGCAGGTGCGTGTTTTGTCCATCAGGAGAAGAACCGCGGATGCGGTTATTTGGACGCATTTGCGGCATCGTAGGTGCGGTGACTGGGCGCAGATGCGATCTCGGTCCTTTAAGTGATTTTCGCAGGTGCGCACCTGTGACCGCAGGTGCGAGATATTGTCCGCAGGTGCGGAATTCCTGGGGCAGAAATTATATAAGTTCCCCTTCGCGAAATTTGGCCCATTCCACCATTTTTGAAGTTGGGATTGAAGCTTTTGGATGGTTTTGAAGAGGGAATCAAGGGGGAAACTTGTTGAGGTAAGGTTTTTTGACTTAGTACTCGATTCTATGATGATTTTCAGTAGATTAAGCTTGTAATTTGTGGGATTTAAGGGTGAAAATTGGGGAATTAGGGCTTGGAACTTGAGAGTTAAAATTGGGCGATTGAGGGGTCAAACGAAGTTGGATTTTCGTAAATTTGGTATGTATAGACTCGTGAGTGAATAAGGATTCTAGTGTTGTGATTTTTATTGGCATCTAAGACGTGGGTTCGGGGGTCGGGTTTGGCCAATTTCAGGAATATTGATTTAATTTGATAATTCTTGCATGGGCTTTATTCCTTTAGCATGTATTGATGATATGATTCTAATTTTTAGATAGATTCGGGGCGATTTGAGACCGAGTCGAGTGGCAAAGGCATTGCAAAGTAGATTTGCGTTCAGTTTGAGGTAAGTAACGATTGTAAATCTAGATCTGAGGGTATGAAACCCCGAAATTTTGTACTATTTTGATAAATAAGGTGACGCACATGCTAGGTGACGGGCATGTGGGCGTGCACCAATAGGGATTGTGACTTGGTCCGTCCCGTGGCAACTGTAGAGTTGCATATTTTGATAAACTCTAATGTGATATCTATGTGCTTTAAAAATGATTTTGTTAACTTGGGTTGAATGCCACGTTTGGGGCCTTGTGCCGTACTATTTGGACCCCTAGAGGTATATATGTGTGTGTGTGTGTGTGTGTGTATCGGGCTGCACGCCGCAACGATATAGTGCTTAGGCTGTAGGAGCCCCTCCGGAGTCTGCTCACCCCCAATGAGCGCAATTGACTATGTATTTATGGATCGGGTTGACGCCGCAACGGTTATTATAAGGTACCTATTTAGTGTGAGTGCTGAGTGTGAGTGCTGGGCTTGTATTATGAAATTACTGTTTTTACTTTTCTTTTATACTAAGCCTCTATTGAAAATGTTGAACAAATGTTTTAAACAATTTTTATTGAAACTGGAGTTTTATTATACGAGATGTTCCGAATTTAATTACTGATTTGATCTTATTATTTCCACTGAGGTTTTTATGTTATGAGATGTATTTGATTATTAATGCTCGTCACTGCACTCAGCCTTTATTTATAATTGTTACTTACTAAGTTGGCGTACTCACGTTACTCCCTGCACCTTGTGTGCAAATCCAGGTGCTAGGGCATCCGAGTGAGAGCTGTTCCTTTCCTTCAGAGCATTTCCAGAGTTAACAAGGTAGTTGCACGGCATCCGCAGCCTTGCCTTTTTCCTTCCTATCTATTTAGCATTTGTTTATTTTATTAGACTCATCTTGTATTGAGAAAACATTATCAGATTGTATTTTAGTGGCTCATGACTAGTGACTCCAGGATCGGGCAGTGTCTGATGTTTTGCATATTTATCCGCTTGTCTTGAAATGTTTAAACGAAAGATTTGTAATAATATCTAATTAGTAAATGAATTAAGAAAAAGACATGTTTATGTTATAAATGTCGAATCGGCTAGCCTAGTACTGCGATAGGCGCCTTCACGGTCGGGGTGGTTTGGGGTCGTGATATTTTTTCAATACCAACTACAATCTTGGGGCACAATGTGAGAACATACATTAGGATCATTCTTGATGTAGATGCGATGCACCCATTTGACCCATAATGAATTCTTACTCTGAGTTAGTTGCCAAAACAGTTTTCCCACTGAAGCTTTATTCCAATTACTGCATCCTTGGATATTTAGGCCTCCATTTTCTTAGGACAACATATATTCTCCCATGAAACTAGTGGAACTCCTCTCTTGTCTTTTGAACTACCCATAAGTAATTTCTATATATTTTGTCTACTTCCCTTAATACACTTTGAGGTAAAATAAACACTGTACCCCAAAATCTGTATATTGAAAATAGAAGTGCAGTTATCACTTGAAGCTTTCCTGCATATGACAGCCTCTTTACATAGGTAACACTGATTCTATGAGTGATCTTCTCTACCAGCTATTGACACTCCAATAGACTCCACTTCTTAGGTGACAAAGGTAGTCCAAGATATCTGATAGGAAAAGATCCCTCTGAGAACCCAGTGACATTCAACAGTCTCTTCTTAGTTTAATCAGTCACTCCTGCCATGAATATGTTAGATTTGTCCAAGTTTGCATTCAGACCTAACACCTCACTAAAATGTTTTAGTGCTTCCTTTACTCTATTCACTGATGCCCTTCACCTTTGCAAAAGACCATTAAATCATCAGCAAAAATGAGATGGTTCAGCTTCAAATGTTTACACATTGGATGGTATTTGAAATCTAGCAATTCAACCATCCTTCCTAAAGTCCTGGAGAGGTACTCCATAAACAACACAAAGAGTTTTGGTGACATAGGATCACCTTATTGAAGTCCCCTTTGCCCCTCAAAATACCCATGTTGTTCTCCATTTACAGTGACTGAAAACTTTGGTGAAGTCACAAAAGTCATAATCAATTGGCCAAATCTTTCTAGGAATCTATAGCCAAGCAGAATCTCTTCTAAGAACTCCCAACTGACCATATCATAGGCTTTTCTGAGATCAATTTTCATTAGACATCTAGGTGTTGTCTTCCTATTATAATGCCTGAGTAAATCATGGCAAATAAGCACATTATGCATCGTAGATCTACCCTGCACAAATGCTGACTGATTGTCTGCTACTATGTAATTTACTGCATTTTTCAACTTGCTGCAAATCACCTTTAAGATATATTTGTACAAGACATTACAACATGCAATTGGTCTGAACTGGCTTGCAAACTCAGGATCAGTTATCTTAGAAATTAGAGCAATGTTGGTGCAATTGATCTGCTTTAACAATCTTCCATTCCTGAAGAAATCCAGTATAACATCAGTAATATCCCTGCCTAGAATGTGCCAAGAATCTTTAAAGAACCCACTGCTATACCCATCAGGCCCTGAACTTTTATTACTATCAATCTAGAATAATTCCTTCTTAACTTCCTTTTCCTCAATAGGCTGCAGTAATCTCAGCTGCAACTCTGTTGTCAGTAAAGAACCATTTTGTATGAAGCCTTTGTATGCTCTCCTTCTTGAACTAGCCTTTTGCCCAAGCAGTTCTTGATAGTAGCTTAGGAACAAGTCTACAATTGCTTCTGGTTCTGTCTGCCATACCCCTTGGTCATCTTTCAATTGGATAGTAGCTAACTTCAATCTTTTGTGTCTTATTACTGAGTAGAAGTACCCAGTGTTGTCATCTCCCAGCCTTAACCATGTAGCTTTACTTTTCTGTTGTAGAAACATTTCAGCAAGGTTGGATGATTCTTTAAACTTCTGATATTTCTCATGTTCTTCCTGTTGAATACCAAGATTACTAGGATCAGTTTGCAACCTTTCCTACACCTGCTTCAATGCTTGTCTGTCTACTTTAGTTGTTTGCTCAATATTGCTGAAGTATTGACTGTTAAGTTCCCTAAGCTTCCTTTTCAGTAACTTCATCTTTTTAACAATCTGAAACATTTTGCATCCTTCTACAAATGTTGTCCATACATATGAAACAATCTGATTAAACTGAGGGTGTTGTGCCCAAGCATTGCAGTACTTAAAGTATCTTTTAATCCTATGATTATCATATGAAAGAGTTATATATACAGGACAATGGTCATTTATACCCTCAGGTAGAATTTTAGATTTACATGATGGTATAAGGTCTAACCACTCCCCATTAATGAAAGTCCAATCTATTTTTGAATCTATTTTTTGACAGTGCCTATTATTCCATGTATATCTACTGCCCTGGTATGGTAGTTCTATGAAACCACATTCTCCCATGCAGTTATTAAAATCTACTACTTCTGCCCATGTAATTGGATTACCCCTATCTTGTCCTCCATATTTAAAATTGAGTTGAAGTCCCCCTGTGATTAACCATGTCAACTTACAATATGAGTTTTGCTCAATTAACCAACTCCATAAGCTCTTTCTCTATTTCTTAGTGTTAAATGCATACACAAAGGTGATAGCAAATTGCATCTGGAGAGGAATATAATAGACTTCACATGTTATTCCCTGTGTAGTGCTGCTCTTTAGAATAACTCTGTAATAGTCTGGCCTCCATGTAACTCATATTCTCCCATTATAATGAGCCTCCAAGTTGTGATATACTGCCATCCACTAAATAGTTTCCCTGCTATTTGTTCAATTCTATCCTTCTTTATTTTTGTTTCTAATAATCCTATCATTCCAACCTTTTCATCATTGCAAAGGAGTTTAGTCTCCTTTTGCTTATTGGGAGTATTAAGCCCCCTTACATTCCAGGAGAGAATATTAACCATTCCCTGACACAGGAATGGATTGGCCTTCCACTTTTCCCACTGAAACCAGCTCTTGTGCCTTACTAGTTTCTTGTTTATCAAGTGCCTGAAAAGAGTTTGCCCTTGCAACTTGTTAAGAGCCTATTATCTGAGCTTTCGCTGTCCTCAAAGGTGTGATCCATCCTATATTCTTTCCACTGGCTTTGTTTGCAGTTTGTATTGCCTCTGTGTCTTTGCTTCTATCCTGCTTTTCCTCCTCTCCCTTCTTCTGTTTGTCATCCTGAACCCTTGCCTCCTGCTTTTCAACAGATTTGGGGGGGGGGGGGGGTTCTTTTTCCTACAAACATTCTCAAAGTACCCATACTTTTTACAATAGGTATAGAGTGTTGGTTTCCAATCATACAAGACTTTCTGTTCAATCACATCCCCTTTTTCATTCCTGAACTTCACAACATCTGGAAGGTCTGCCTTCACATCCACCTCCACTAAAAGTCTTGCAAAACTGAGTCCCAACTTTTTCTCAGTGTTTTGATCCACCATCATTGGTTTTTCTACTAGACTTCCGATCTTACTCAGACCTTTTTTTCTCCAATACTTAAATTCTAAACCTGGAAGTTTGATCCATATTGGAACTGTGTATAATTTCTCTTGTGAACTCCATGTCTGGGTTCCATTGCTTCACAACTTATTGTCAAAGTGATATATTCCCCCCTGTAAAGCTTCATTCATACCCATAACACTATCAAATTTAACAAGTACAATTATATTTTTCAGCATCACTATTTTGTTCAAACTATGCTTTGCCCATAAACTCTGTACATATCCCTTTATAACCGAAAAAGGGGGAAACGCTCCTAAAACATAGAAAACAACATGATTCTTCCAAAATACCACTTCAAAAACAATATCCTCTTAATCAATTTCAACAATAATAGACTTACCCTGCTTAATTGGAGATACATATTCTAGTTTGAATCCAGCATTTGATATCTTAGAGATATGAAAATTGTCCAAGATTGAGTTCGTCTTCTCTGTTCTCTCCTCTTCCTTAACTTGATCTGCCCATGATTTCTTCCCACTGCTTGATGATTCACTGATAGGTTCATTAATGGCTTCCTCCCATTGTTGTCAAACATTTGCATGTTGCTTTTGTGCCTCACTTTTCCTTGTTACTGTTTCATTGGATTTTCCCCAATTTGGACTGCGACGAGTTTGAGCAGGAGTTTGATTGTTCTTCTGTCCTCTCTGAAGTAGCAAAGATGAAGCTTGAGCCATTAGTAGCTCCTGTGATGGCACACGTGCCCTTTTCCCCATGGTAGGTGCACGTTAGTTATCCTGCGGCGAGAGAGAATGAGCCATGTGCAGAAGCTCTTGATGATTTTTCTTTTGCTCATATTATTTAGTAACATAATCTTAACTGGAATAATATATACTATTCTTCATTAAATTTATTCAAATTTGACTATCATATTGTAAACTTAAGTTACTTTTAATATGACAATTTTTATTCTAGGAAGAAATGTGTTTAATACACTTAAGCAATAATCATTACTAATAAATAACTCTGCATTTTCCACTTTATTCATATATCGTCTGCATTCCAATATAAAACTAAAAAAAAATAAAAAATATAATAGTAGTAGTAGTAGTAATAGTAATAATAATAAAAAGGGAAAAAGAGCAAAAATACAAATTCTTAAGGTGTGTTTCGTTCCATGGAAAATGAAATTTTATCACTTATTTTTCCTTATTTGATAGGTGAGTGAAAAACTTTTTCAATTTTTTTTATTATTTGGTTAGAGAGTAGAAAATATTTTTTAGGAAAATAATTTTTTATGTTACTCTCCTCACCCCCCTTCCCCCAAATCNCCCCCCACACACCAAATACCCAACGTTTTCAAGACTTATTTTCTTCAAGAATTTAATTATTCTTTTAAAAAACCAAACAAACCCAAATGAACTAATGTATTGCTTTACTTTTTCACGCATGATAATGTTGAAATTTGTGCTCCATAATTAAAAAGAAAATAATATTTTTTTGGTTGAAAAAGAAAGTACTCTTTCTACAATATGAAAAGAAAGTACTCATTTTGTTGAAATAAAATAAAATATATTTTTTCTATCATGAAAAGAAATAAAAGAAAATACTTTTTCTATATTATTTTGTTGAAATGAAAGAAAATATTTTTTCTACTTCATGAAAAGAAAGTGCTTTTTTTTTGTTGAAATGAAAGAGAATATTTTTTTTACATCATGAAAAAAAAAACTCATTTTGTTGAAATGAAAGAGAATATTTTTTTTACATCATGAAAAAAAAAACTCATTTTGTTGAAATGAAAAAGAAAGTTCTCTATCTACAACATGAAAATAAAGTACTCTTAATAGTATTTCTATTTAGAGTGGGGAGAGGTGTTGGGTGGGGGTGGGTGAAAAAATAGACGAAATTGCTTCTACTTCTAAAACTATTTTCGGTATTCAAATATGCATCTAGAAAGAACAAGAACGCTAAAAAATCATAAAAAGCACTTACAATATTTAGAAGGAAAAAAAAAAGAAGAAAAAACAATAATGCTCACACAGTCAATTATAGTCAGAAGAAACTTACGAAGTTGGAAGTTGGAAGATAACCCACTAGGCTAATCCATATTTTACAATGAATACCTATATTTCTATGGGTTGAAGCCCAAATTTTATTCAACTTAAATATCACTCATCCAACCCACTAAAATACGGGTAATTGATAAAATATGGGCTCATTTTGCTAGCACTACCTGTTGTTATACAATTAGGTCAAATATACCTCTTCTCCGTTAAGGTTATCTAAGGTGGACACTCAATTCCATGTGTCACTGACATTTTCGCCACGTGGCATGCCACCTCACTATCATCAACCCATTTTATTCCTCACTTTTACTTCTTCTTCCACCACTAGCACCTCATATTCCTTCACAACTAGTGCCACCATCAACACCACCATTTTCACCATCTCCCCCTTTATTCTCTAGACCGTGCTTAGGGAAAAAATATAAACAATGGTTGCAAAATATTTTTTTATATTCATTTCATAAAATTTATAATCACTGTAATAATTTTCAAAGCCATTAAAATATGCATATTTCAATTAGGCTTCGTCTGGTATTTGTAAGGAATTTTTACATTCCTATGTCATATAGGAAACTATATTATCCTCAATGTTTAAGGTTTGATATAATTACATTTAGTATACCTAATTACCAATTATGTACCATAAGGTTTTTTAACTGTACATTAATTGTACCTTATATCACTCCTACATTTATGGTACCGTATATTCCTCCAAATCCGCCCCCCCCCTCACGTTTCTCTCTCCCAACCCCACACCCTCACCCATGTATCATCACACACCCAGAAAAAAGAAAAACCAGAAAAACAATTAAAACTCTCTGCTAAATCCAGAAAAACAATTGAAACCCTCTACCATTAACGTCCAAAATCAAGGTTTTTTCTTCTACAACCAGTCAAAATTGAAGCCAAATCTTCAAAGTTTCATACACAGCAATAACTTTTGATGGTTATGATTTCGGGTTCCTTCAGTAATATAAGAGGAAAGGAAAAGAGAGCAGCAATTCTACCATTGACAACCATTAAAAAGCTTTGAAGCTTTGAATTCAAGTTTGGGTTTTCAAAAATCATTATTTGTTTGGATTGAGTGTTGTTGTAAATAATTGGGAATATGGTTTGGAGTTTATATCTCAATTTTGAGGAGGTTTTGATGAAGATTAGACTTGGTTTTGGCTGAATTTCATATTGAAATTCGAAGAAGAAGAAGAAGAAGAAGAAGAAGAAGAAGAAGAAGAAGAAGAAGAAGAAGAAGAAGAAGAAGAAGAAGACGTATATTGCAAAAATTATAGAAAATTGTAGATAAATTGAAGCAAAATTGTAGACTATTGTTTATTTATTTTTCTTGAAGAAAAATTGCAGAAATATTTTTTTGGATTCCATATTTAGCATAGCAGTTTCGTAAGGAGTAACAAGAGCATATAGGAGAATCACAAAATTATAAAATAATCAGGATTTTCGACATAATTGCGTTTTTTGCAGAAGATTTGTAGAAGTTTTAGTCTTTTTTGATTTATGAAAATAGAAAACAAAGCATCTGCAATCAGAATACAAATAATCTATAATTTATCGATAAAATATCTACAAACTGGGTACATTGAATTTTAATATCCCAATTCCCATTCAATTGTAGCATAATTGGGATTTTCGACATAATTGCATTTTTTGTAGTAGATTTGTAGAAGTTTTAATCGTTTTTGATTTGTGAAAACAGAAAACAAAGCATCTACAATCA